CCCTGCTCCTGCATTCTGGTCATCGCCAGAGGTCGCCTCCTTCTCCCTGCTTCCAGCGAGGAGTACCCCTCCGCGTTTGGTCAACCATCTCTCTGGAATGGTCTCTGGTTTCCTGCCTGAACAGGGGGTTGGACTAGAAGACCTCCAAGGTCCCTTCCAATTCTGTTACTCCTCAGAGCAATGCCAAAGGTGGCATTTGGCTCAGAGGGGCTGACCGAGCCCCCACAGGGTCCGGAGGGCCCCCACCCTCCCTGGATGGCTGAGCTGAGCAGAGACCTCTGGGAAGGTTCCCCCAACTGAGCCAGGAGAGCAGCCTGGCGGGGGTTGCCCTCTTTGATCCCAGGCCCAGGGGAGGCTTTGTCTCTGTAGCCCAGGGGGGTGAGGGTGAAGGTGAGGGTAGTAATGCCCCCCCCCCCAGGCCTCTGTTCTGAAATGCAGTTTCCCTGGATGCAAGCAGGGCTTTCATTAGGGGACTGTGGGGGCTTTCCTTCTGCTTCCTCCCAGCTTGGTTCAATTATTTTTAAGTGATTAATAGGCCTGGCTGCTATAAGGGACTTTAAAAAGTATTTTTTAACATACTCAGTTGACTGTGTGGCATTTAAAGGGTAAGTATTGTATCTTCTGCAAATAAATTTAATACGCTGATTTACTTGGCCAAATGTATTGAACTTAACAAAATAAGTACAGTACCATCTGCAAATGAATTCAGTAACTGCTATGGAGCTCTTACTTAGAGTCTCCTCTGCGAAGGTGACTATTTGTCTATTACAATAGAGCTCCCACTTCTATAAGTGAACGAAAGGAGAGTATCAGACGAATCTCTATTTAGGTGGGCCTCATAAAAGCAGAAATTCTGAAGAAACATAATTATATGTTTTTATTTTGTGCTCTTGCAAGTTTACGTAAATTACCTGATCTGTTTTTCTGAGAATAATGGACAATTTTTTTTTGCAGAAAACACTTAAGTTTTTTATTACAAAAATAATACTATATTCAATTATTTTCTCAGCAAGCTATTTGTTTCTTTTTGGAATGAATCTAGACTTATCTAGAAATATACTTTTATTGAGATTTAATTTAAGATGGTTAGCTAATTGTTTAGTATCTAAGCTGTGGTCCACAATACATGAAGTGATGAAATGGGCCCATTTGAAGCAGCTTTTGGGGAATTCTTGTCTGGCATGAGAATCTCAAGGTTTCCAGATCCTCTCCCTGTTGCAGTCAACTACATATTAATAAAACCTCCCGAAATTAAGATGTCGAAAAATCTTTATAGAAGTCTCCAGAGAACACATCTGAACCATGTGATTTTCCAGCCGGCATCGGACCTGGCTATCTTCGAGACCGCCTCCTGCCACAGATTACCTCCCACCGACCTGTACGCTCCCACAGAGTGGGTCTCCTCGGGGTGCCGTCAGCCAGACAGTGCCGGCTGGCGACCCCGAGGGGTAGGGCCTTCTCTGTGGGAGCTCCCACCCTCTGGAACGAACTGCCCCCAGAGATCAGGGTGATCCCTGNGTTGTTCCAGCTCGCGGGACTGGCCTAAGGGATTTTAAAGGGGTTTTAATTACTTTTAAATTGGACGTATTTAAATATTTCTTTTTAATCGATTTTTAATTAGATGTATAACATGTTAGCATTTTATCTATTGTCAGCCGCCCTGAGTCCGCAAGGAGAAGGGCGGGATATAAATGTAATTAAATAAATAAATAAATAATTAAATAAAATTTTTCAAACTTTCAGAAACGTCGACTATTTCTGATTTCCTGAAAAGTGCTGCTTAAAACCGGGATCCCTGAGTGAACCATTCAGACAACTGCAGTTCTGCTAAGTAATTATTTACCTCCTACTGAGATGTGGGCTTGTTTGATGTATTTTTAAAATTAGTTTCATCTTGTGTTGTTACTGATGCTTGCTTCATATAATTTTCTTTAAAAACGACTTAAAAGAGTGAGATAAAAGTAGCTCATTAGTTGAAAATTAATGTAGAGTTGAGCAGCTGGAGTGCTGTGGGCTGTGGAGGGCAAGTTTATGGAACTGGCTCTTTGAGAAGTAACCATGCGGCACGGCCTGCTTGGATCCATGGCCGTGGGCTTAATTTGGGTTACTGGAGCGTTTGACCCCCGTATGGAGCCTCTTCCCAAGCAGCACCAGTGTCATTTGAATGACATGCGGGGGACCATTTGAATAGAGATAACATAATCAATAAGAGTTTATATAACAAATACTTTGAAAATATCCACTTTGCTCTAAATTTCTATCAAGGACCCTTCCCGATATCAGATTTGGCATACCACATTTTAATAACCATTTTATTAATTCATTGTTTCTGACCCCAATTCAGAGAATATCCTCCCAGGTCTGCCTGTCCGTTGTTTTTTCAGTTTTAAAAATATAAGTGAGCTTTAAATGGAATTGTGACCCCTTTCAGTTTATTTGTTCCTGCTGAAAAATGTTTAATTTAATGAACACTTGTTCAGTGACTGTTCAAACTTATGACCGCTGAATGAGTAGTGGTTGCAGCCGGTCCTTGGAGCTCTCCAGCCTTCCCTGTGGCCGGCCATGCGATGGCCATCTGGGCGCCTGGCCCTTGACACAGGGTTACAACATCACAGCAACTTTTGCAGCCAGAGGATTGTGATTTCTGACATTCTCAGCTGGCTTCCCACAAGCAAAGTCAGTGGAGAAGCCGGCAGGAAGTCGGAAGTCAGGGTCGTGTGAGGTCCTCACTTGATGACTTATAAGGTCTTAACATTGGCAACCAGGGCTGCTGGAACTGCTGTTGTTAAGTGTTGCATTCCTGTGATGTTGTCTATAACTATGTTTCAATTGCTGTCATAAACCAAGGATTATCTATGTTATCAAAATATTTATCTTGTATCTCCTCTGTGTTGTATTTTTCCCGTAGCATTGCTACTGCTGGTGCAAACAATCTTACAGATCTATACGGCAAAATATTTCAGCTGTATCACTTGAGCCGCCGGTGTTCAGAGAGAGAACCTGGCTTACAGCCCTCACCCCCCCCCCTGGAATCCCTTTGGTCCCAGACGCGCCGGATGGAAGGGAAAACGGCCACTTCGAGTGCTTCCCCCTTTGGGCCCAAAGTGCCCCAAAGGGTCTTCATGTAATCCACATGCCCGCCCCTCCCCCCAATCCATTTTGACAGGAGGTGAACTTTGGTGAGTTCCCAGAGAATTCTGGGCTGGGTTGTTAGCCAGGTGCCCCCCTGCTGCTGCCCCCCCCACTCATCCAGCTCCTTTGTTAATGCTCAGCCTAGTCCGGCTTCCATACTTGCATTCCGTTTGTGTCAGCACATTGGCAAATGCCAAACTGTTTGTAACCAAGCAAACAAAAAATAGGAAAAGACAAGCAAAAGAAATAGCAAAGTCCACCGGTCCCTCCATTTCTTCCTTCTCTTCTTTGTCAACAAACTCCGGCAGGGGGTTCATAGGTTGTGTTCATCCTCTCTGGACCTTGCAATATACAGATTAATTGGCACATAAAAAACCTTCTCCTCATACCTTAATTCTGGTTTGGTTAATTGTTTTGAGAGGGATTAAATGCATCCCTTCTTTGCAAAGTTCTTTGTGAGTCCTGATCCCGCCTTAAGCATGAAAGCCGGCTGGGTGACTTTGGCCCAAACCCTTCCTCTCAGCCCTACCCACCTCACAGGGTTGTTGTTGCAGGGAAAATAGGAGGGGGAAGAAGGATTAGGTATATTCACCAGCTTGAGTTATTTATAAAAATAATAAAGGCAGGATATAAACAGACAAGCATAAAATGGCTTGGCTAAAACAACTTATCTCTTCCAGCTGACACTCTCTGAACAAATTGGCCTCTGGGAGCGACATTCAGAAATTCCAGTTTGGCCAAAGCATCTCCTGGTTTCCGCACTCTTCTGGGCCCAGGACTATTGTCAGAGCTCGGCCGAGGGCTGAAAGTTCCTCCCAGAAGGACATCCGGTCAGAAAGGGAGTCTCAGCCTCCCAGATGGGGAACAAGCCTGGAAAAGACTCTGAATCGGAGGAGGAGGAGGAGGAGGAGGAGGAGGACTCAGTGGGTGGTAAACCATTGAAGCTGGAGGTCTCAAAGGAGGGGGAGGAGGAGGGGGGGGGAGACGTCTATAGCTCCCACAAGAGCAAACTTTGCATGTCTGTCAGAACAATTTGCTAAACAATTCAAGGAAAAGAGAGGCATGGGAAGACTTAGTCAAGCTGTTCCGTCCTTATTCAATGGGCTATGGGTGGAGCTCTTGTTTCTTTTAACCACTGGGGAGACGGGGGGGGGGGGCTTTCAGTTTTTAAGTCTTAAGTAGGGTTTAAACTTTATGTTTTAGGAGACGGGGACTTCATTGGCCCCAGAGGCAACAATCCGCTACTGAAATGCATCAGCCAGATAGAAAATACCCTGCCTGCCTCTGCTCACCCCCCCCACCCCCCCGCCCTTTAGCCACTCTTGGGAACCGGCCTGGATCTGGACCAAATCCCAATGCAATCAAAGGAACTTTAACACATCTTCTTTCTTTTTATTGCCAATGGAAACAGACAAGTCCACTAGCCCAGTTTCATGTAGCTAGCAAGTTGCAGCAGAATTGGAGTCTTGCCCAGTTAGCCCCCCCTCTCCAGTCGGAACCCTCACATCTCTGGGACTGTCCAAGTGCCCCCCCCAGCCCCATAAGCAGTTCCGAGCAGGGCCCATCATTTTGCCTCCTTCAGGAACTGATTTTGTTCTCCTGTGCCTTCAAAAGTATCTCAGTTCTGGAAAACCAAAGTCAGAGTGGAAATAATGGCGGTGGGGGTGGGGAGTGAGAAGGCTGGAAAGCAAGCCTGGGGGAAAATGCCACTGCCCACCCCAGCCAGATGCAGTAGCAGAGGAGGGGGAGGCGGGTGGGGTGGCAAACGGAGAGGCTGCGCTTGGTGGGGGTGGCCAGAGGCGCCTGGCTGATTGGGGAGAAGAGAATCGGGGGGCTCCAGTGAGATGCCCCCATTGCTTATGGGTCACCCCCTTGGTCCTGTCTCTCCTTTCGACGCACGTCCCTTTTCTTGGTCTCTCGCTTCTCCCGCTGGCTTTCCGCTTCTTCCAGCAGGACAGTGATTCTGCTTATCATGTCCTCAATGGGTAAAGCCCCCGCTCTGTACAGTTCAAGGAGTTCCTGCCTATTATCCTGAGGGACGTATTTAGAGAAGAGGAGATCCAGGACACACACACGTTGCCCCTGGTATTCTCCCACTGTCACGGGGACCAGAGTCGTCCTCAAAGTCTTCTTCAGTTGCAGCTGCCGAGCCTGGGACTCGCCGTCTTCTGCCGCGGTGGAATCAGGACTGCCGCTTGCTGAGCAGCCTCCGCTCGGCATCTCTCTCCCCTCCTTGTCACGGTGAATGATATCAGACACCACAGACTCCATCTGATCAAGGTTGAGATCGCCAAACTGATGGAGCCGCAGCAGCTCCTTCTGCTTCTCCTTGGAAACGTAATGGGAATGCAGTACATCCCACAACGAAGCTTCTTTTCCAGGGAAATCAGCAACAGGGAAATTTAACAATCGAGACTTTAAAGCACTCTGCGAGTGAAAGGGGCTTTTTGCCAAAGACTCCTCAGAGCTTTTGGGGGAGGAAATATATCCCTGTGCAGATTCGCAGAAGACAGAAGCCCCATCAGTTGAGGTCCCCATTTGTGTAATCGCAGCAGACATGCCCTGGGCAGTTCCTGGGACGCTAAAGGTCGATCCTTGAGATTCAAGGAGACTTATTTCCTGACTGTGGTTAGAGACGCACCTGGAAAAGAAAGGATCCCAGACAGAGGTTTTCTGATCCTGGATATCACGGACAATGGCATTGATATTCTCCAACTCCAAAGTATACTGAAAAAGGTCATACCGTGAAGGATATTGATTTCCTGATTTCATTTCCTCTGTCTTATTGACAATGGCGGAGACCACGGTCTCCATCTGGTCAATGGTGAGGATGCCCGATTGGTATAGTTGTAGCAGCTCCTTCCTTTTCTCCTCAGGGATGTACTTGGAATGAAGCACCTCCCACACCGACACTTTACGCCCGTGAAACGCCGCAGCGGTGACCTCCACCATTCGGGACTTCAGA